CTTCAGTGTTAAGATTTATTCAGCCACCTGGTCTTGCCCTTCTCTCTCTTGAAGAAGAAAATACTAACACTTTGAGCATCATAAAATGGAAAATTTGTACAGATGACCTCATCAGGGTGCAATTCCATTTTTGGTGCCAGGAATGATCAGTTTGGGAGAAATTTATTAAAAAGGGCACACATGGAAAGCACAACATGAAAAGCAGGATCTGTCCCCTTGCTTCTTATCTCATTTATTTTGAAAGATTTTTCTTTTTTTTGGGGGGGTGCCAGTTTTATTTCTTGCAATCATTGGGGTCCAAAGGTCTTCCACTTGGTTTAAAAGTCAAGTGGGGAGGAAAGGCAAGCCACATTATTTCATCTAAGCTAGCTAAATAAATAGAACTTTCTTTGCAAAGGGAGACTCATAAACCTATGGCAATTCACCTGTGTAGCCTGGGAGAAGAATCAGTGATTCCTTTTCAAAATCACCAGGCAGGCAGAGAGCCCTGTTCAGGGGATGTGCCTCGCGTCACGTCCTGGACGGGCAGCTTGTATTGTGATGCTTTGCTTATCTCCTCTCATTGACCACAGCCAAGCGAGCATTGTAAGTGCCAGAAACAGGGTTGGGAAATCATCCTCTTTCATCTGCTTCCTAGTTTAGAGGCTCCAAGAACATCTTTGCTTTTCACAGCCAGATCAACATACAAATATTTACAATCGACTATTTCCAGCTAAGAAAACCCGCCACGGGCTCTGAAAGCAAGGGGTGTATGCTCTATCCCATAGATTGCTCTGTGTGTGTGTGTGTGTGTGTGTGTGTGTGTTTCAGACTTTGGAAAGTGAATAAATTCAGAGCCCCCAAGGACAGGTAGAGTCTCAGTATTCCCTTGCCCACTGGCTTGGGAGTGTTCTGATCATATTTCTATTGTCCATAATGTTAGCAAAATATGAACGCATTTACCCTATTCTATGATGGTCATCTTCTGAAATGTCCACAGCCTTGAAAGCTCTGTTCTCAGCTCCATTCCTTAATCATGCTAGAAATGGGGGCGATGTCCAAGGGGAAGGGCAGACAGAATGCACAGGGTGTCACCTGTTCCACATGAGCACGAAAGGCTGTCCAGCCCTGCAGTGTCTCAAAAGTGCACGTTTCTTTGAGAGAATAGGGTGTTGGTTGCTTGGCTAGTCTTGGAAAGCATTTCTTTAAAAACTTCCCTGTTTTGTTTTTCTCCCAGTCAAATTGAATCTGAGCCTTGGGGAGCCCCAGGATCTCAGGGATGGAAGGCTCCCAGAAGATTACATTCTCATCACAAACCCCCAGCCTCACAGGAGGCAGTAGCAGAACAAAATGTGGGATCACATGAGTTCAGTGTGATTTCGCAGAACCTGGTTCTTATTCAGACAGCTTTTGGAAAAGCAGGAATGCAAAGTGGCCATAGTGTCCGTGGTTCAGATGGGCCTCCCTGGCTGCAAGGCGGAGCCCCAGAAGCTCTCTGCCAAAGGATGTTCTGCTGGCTCAACCGCTGTATAAATGTCACTTAGAAAGCGACAAGCATAAGGTTTAGCATGAAATTGGAGGCTGTCATGTCACCTAGCAAAACAATGGCACACAGCGCTGCTTTAAAAATACTGCCCGGGGGCGCCTGGGTGGCTCAGTCGGTTAAGCGTCCAACATCGACTCAGGTCATGATCTCACAGTTCATGAGTTCAAGCCCCGCGTCAGGCTCTGTGCTGGCAGCTCGGAGCCTGGAGCCTGCTTCGGATTCTGTGTCTCCCTCTCTCTGTGCCCCTCCCTCACTTGCACTCTGTCTCTCTGTTTCTCAAAAATAAATAAACGTTAAAAAAAATTTTTTTTAATTAAAAAAAAAATACTGCCCAAAGGCCCAGTAGGATGTGTGGAAGAAGAGCAGAGGCTGCTGGGTGGCCAAGGATCCAGACTGTGGAGCCCAGCCTTTCAAGATATGCCTTGGAATTGCTGCTCCTTTTCAGAGAAGCAGACACTCCAGCACTCCCGAGGGCTGTAGCATGAGTCCCATGACATGGGACAGAGGTCATTTTACCTGCCTGCCAAAGACTGGGTCCCAGCCCACCACTGCTGAAGCTGGCCAAATTTGAGTTCCTGGGGGACAGGGAGGTGATCCAGTGTAGGCTGAGGGTCTGGCCTAGAGCCACCCACCCCAGTTCTTGACCTTGGAGAGTTTTCAGCCGCCCCTTCCCTTGCCCATCTTGTGCCTCGAGGCATTGGCTGCCTGAGCTGGGACATGTCCGTTGCAAAGTCTCCAAACCAATTTTTTTATGGGGACACATACAAACTCCTGCTCATCATTCCCCTTGTACTCGTTGACTTTTTTGTTTTCCGTTTCTTTTCCCAAGAGATGCCAGTTTGGCAACACGTAGAGCTGCCTCTCTGATTGAAATCTTGGAGACTTTCATCCATAACTTCACACAGCCCCAGGGCAGTTCTTTTAGGCTCCCGTGCTCAGTGTAATCAGCCAGATAGACTTGCTACACTGTTGGTTTGAATGAAGTCCATTACTCGCCTGTAAGAATTCAGGATGAGGCCAGTACCCACCAGAGACAACTGTCCAGCATCTCCCTCCTACTCTGGGACCTCAGGGGAGAGTATAAATGAATAGAAGAAACAGCAGTGTGGGCGAGGACAGGAAATTAAGAACCCATTGTGCTTGCGAGGATGGTAGCCAAATGGGGCCACCTTGGAATGCCCATGGATCACTTAAAAACCTTCCACCCTAGCAAAAATGTAGAACAGGCCTGGACAATGAAGCCCCTTACGTATTCTTATTTCAAACAGAATATTCAGTATGTATTGGCACTGCTTTGTTGTTTATTTAAGTGCTAATCATTATTCAGAAATGTTTAAGTGCTTCATTTTTATTCCTGAGATAAACCTGATTTAATATTATGTTTAAAAGCCGGGGGGGGGGGACCCTCTTCCCTTCTTTAATTTGGTTGAAAACATTCTGCTTTGGCATAGGCTTGTGTTCGTACCTGGGGGATCCCTTTTAAGAAGACACATTATTATCAGAGATAATTTGCCGTTCATTTATTTTTACGTGATTATCTTGAACCTACAATTTGAGGTCCTGCTTTTGTCATTTAATGTACCATAAGTGTCATCTGTGGTGCTGTATTAGGGCCGTGATTTCCTGGGTGCATCGTAGTCCACTGAGTGGAGGTATGTCGGTTTGCTTATCTGTGCTTCTGTGTTCATCACCTTCTCCTTTTCTATAATTATGAATAACTCGACCAGAATATCTTCTAGATCTCTCCATATTCTTGTATGAGTCTTAGAGATGTGTTATAAAGAGGATGACTGTGTTTCAGGCCAGGCCTTCTCAGACTTGAGGGTACACGTAGGTCACTTATGGACCTTACAAAACGCAGAGTCTGGCTCAGAGGGTCTGGGCAGGCCTGACGTTCTGCATCCGTAACAAACTCAGGGATGCTGAGGCTTCTGCTCGGGCTTCAGGCAGTCTCTCAAAGTCACCGGCATCCTGGCATCCGGAGTGTTCGCAAGTCCCGGTTTTACCAAGTCCCTGGGTGGGCTAGTTATCAAGGAGCTCTGCCCCCCAGGAATATTGTCCCAGCAAGAGGAACGTTTTGATTAGGCTGGTGTCTGGAGAAGGCAGGGGCTGCGGCTTCCACGATAGTGCCCTAAGCACAATCCTGGCTGACGTTAGAATGACTTGGGGAGTATGCACGTACACATTCCCACACTCACGTTTACTCACACACATACTCATACGTATACATACATACACACTCACATTCACATATACACACATACATACACACACACTCATAATATACACATACACCTACTGACATGCACACACTTACCCAACACACACACACAGTTGCACACGTGCACACATACACCCTCGTACATATACACATATACGTTTGTATACACTCACACACTTATACACACTCACATATTCACACAATTCACATATACGCACACACTAATACATACACACATACGTACATACATCCTCACACACAGCACCTATACGTACACACTCATATATATGCATACACTCCCACCTACACATGCACTCTTGCACACTCACACTCATACACATGCTCCAGACCAGTAGACCATCACCAACAGGATATCTGGCAGCAAGACCTGGCCACCAGTATTTTGTAAAGCTTCCTAAGTTTTTCAGGTGACTCCATGAACAGCCAGGGGGTGAGGGCCATTCTTGTAAACCCACAGAAGACCCCCTCTAAACCTCACTGAGTTCCAACTGTGTTTTAAACCTGACTGGATGAAAAGTTTGGGGATTATATATGCTACACCCGACCTCCACGCTTTTGACCATGGGCTTGGCATAGTCAGGAGTGGTCTTTGCAATTCTAACTATCAATAACCCTAATTTCTAGACGAAAACAAGGCATTTCTCATCGCCGTCTTCTCCATCAGACGCATCCCACGCAGCTCCATCTCCGTGAACGCCACCAAGCCCCAAATCCCTTCCTTTTCCTCACCCTTCCGATCTAAGCAACCATCACGGTCTTGTGTTCCATGCACATGTTTTCCTTATGGAACTCAACGCATTATATTAAAATTCTCTCTTAACATGGCTATGTCTTTCAACCAGACCGTGAGCCCCTTGACACGGAGAAAGGA